GGGTCAGAAGGTGGAATGGAAGGGAGGAGGTGGGGCTGGAAGGAGAGACAGGGGATGGGTGGGAAGGTTATTTGAAATTGGAGAACTCAATGTTGAGTCCTCCGGGCTGTAGGGTGCCCAGGCGGAAGATAAAGTGTTGTTCTTCAAATTTGCATTCTGAGTCGCTGCGACACCGGAGGAGGCCAAGGACGGACATGTCAGAGGGGCAGTGGGGCAAGGCGTTGAAATGAGCAGTGACCGGGAGATTAGGTTGGCCGTTACAGGCCAGGCAAAGATGCTCAGCGAAACGGTCACCTAGTCCACGTTTGGTCTCACCGCCGTAGAGAAGACCACATTGGGAGCACCTGATACAATAGACTAGGTTGGAGCAGATGCAGGTGAAGCTCTGACTCACTTGGAAGGACTGCTTAGGGCCCTGAATGGAGGTGAGGGAGGTGGTGTGTGGGCAGGTGTTGCATCTTTTACAGTTACAGGGGAAGGTACTGGCTGGATTGGAGTGATTGATGGGGAGCGTGGTGCGAAGTAAGGAGTGGCGAAGGGAATGGTCCTTGCAGAAGGCAGAGAGGGGCGGGGAGTGGAAGATGTTCCAGGTGGTGGGGTCTAATTGGAGTTGGTGGAAGTGTTTGAGGATGATACGCTGGGTGCGGAAGCTGGTGGGTGGAAAGTGAGATCAAGAGGGACCCTATCTTTATTGTGTTTGGCGGAGGAGGTTAAGAGCTGTGGAGCAGGGAATGGAGGATGCGCAGTGGAGGGCTGTCTGGATGACAGAGGGACGAAAACAGCGTTATTTGAAAAAAGCGGGCATCCGGGATGTCTGGGAGTGGAAAGTCTCCCTGTCAGAGCAGATGCGATAGAGATGGAGGAACTGGGAAAACGGGATGTAATGTTTGCAGGATACAGGGTGGGAGGAGGTGTAGTCTAGGTAGCTATGGGAGTTCTGTGGGTTTATAGTAAATATCAGTCTGTAAACTGTCATCAGAAATGGGAATGGAGAGGTCAAGAAAGGGGAGGGAGGTGTCTGAGATAGACCAAGTGAATTTGAGGGTGGGATGGAAGTCATTAGCGAAGTCGATGATCTGCTCCAGTTCAGCCTGGGTGCAGGATGCAGCACCAATGCAGTCATCAATATAATGGAAGAAGAGTTGGGGATCAGTACCAGTGTACGTGCTGAAGAGGGACTGTTTGACATAACTTACGAACAGGCAGACATGGCTGGGGCCCATGCGAGTGCCCTTGGCAACCTCCTGGATTTGGAGAAAGTGGGGAGAATTGTAGGAAAAGTTATTGAGGGTGAGGACTAGTTCAGTGAGGCAGAGGAGGGTAATGGTAGGCATAGGTAAACTGGATAGGTCTGTTGGGGAGGGAAAAACTGAGGGCCTGTAGGCCACCCTTGTGGGGTATGGACATGTATAGGGATTGAAAATCCATAGTAAAGATGAAGCACTGGGGGCCAAGGAACTGGAAGTTTCCAAAGAGGTGGAGGGCGTGGTTTGTCTCCCGGATGTAGGTGGGAAGTGCCTGGACCAAGGCGGAGAGAATGGAGTTGAGGTAGGAAGAGATGAGTTTGGTAGGACAGGAGCATGTGGAGACAATGGGTCAGCCAGGTAAGTTGAACTTGTGAATCTTAGGGAGCAGGTAGAACCGGGCAGTGTGAGGCTGGGGGACTATATGGCTGGAGGTGGTGGAGGGGAGGTCATCGGAAGCGATGAGGTCTTGGACAGTGTGGGAGACGGTGGCTTGATGGGCCATGGTGGGGTTGTGGTCAAGGGAGAGGTAGGATGTGGTGTCAGAGAGTTGGCATTCAGCCTCTGCGATATAGCTACCACTGCCACACCTTTATCAGCAGGTTTGAAGGTGAAACAGGGATTGGTACGGAGAGAGTAGAGTGCTGCACATTCAGAGTGGGAGAGGTTGGAGTGGGTGAGTTGGGGGTGGAGAAATCGAGGCAGTTGATGTTGCAATGGCAGTTAACAATTAAGAGGTTCAGGTCGGGTTCAGGCTGGCAGGGGGTATCCAAGAGGAGGAGGAAGGTTGGAGGTGGGAGAAGAGGTCCCCAGAAGGTGGTTGGGAGTCTTTATCGAAGAAGAAGGCATGGAGTCAGAGGCAGCAGAAGAAGGTTCCACATCGCATTGAGGTGAGGGCAGAGGGGCACAAATGTGAGCCCTTTACTGGGGACAGACCGTTTGGCCTCAGAGAGTTTGAGGTCAGGGGGAATGGTGAAAATGCGGCAAGGTTCATGGATGGGGTTTTGTGGGAGTCTCAGGGAGGCTGAAGGAGGGGAGGGGCGATAGCATATGATGAGTAAGGGTTAGACGCGGTGTGGTGGGGGGGAGTAGTGGGAGGGGAAGGAAGGCGGGAGGGTAGTGGACTGGGGTGTAGGATGGAGGATTGACTGCTCCTTTCCCCTAGATGCTACCTGGCTTGCAATGTTCTTCCAACCTCCTGTTTGATTTCATATAAATGATCCTGGGGATGAAGGGCTTGTCACATGATGAGCAGTTGAGGACTTTGGGTCTGTATTCGATGGAGTTTAGAAGGATGCAGGAAGATCTAATTGAAACTTACAGAATACTGAGAGGCCTGGCTAGAGTAGACATGGAGAAGATGTTTCCACTAGTAGAAGAGACTAGAGTGAAGAGATGACCTTTTGGAACTGAGATGAGGAGGAATTTCTTCAGCCTAGAGGGTGGTTAATCTGTGGAACTCATTGCTGCAGAAGGCTGTGGAGGCAAGTCATTGAGTGTATTTAAGACAGAGATAGATAGGTTCTTGATTGGTAAGGAGATCAAGGATTTCAGCTAGAAGTCAGGAGAATGGGGTTGAAAAATATATCAGCCATGATCGATTGGCAGAGCAGACTCAATGAGCTGTATAGCCTATTTCTGCTCCTATAGCTTAAAGTCTTATGGTGAGCACATTTGGAGGATGAGGTTGCTGAAAGGCATTGAGTGGACATGATGCATGCAAAAAAGAGAGTTGTAGTCTATCAGCCTTGGTGAGAAGAATGTGCAGTATTCGAGTTAGAGTGAGCAATGTCCCCATGAGCTTGAGGTAGCGGAGTGAAAATGATGGCATTTACCCCAAGTGATTTGTTTTCTTTAGGTTAATTCTGTCTGAGTTTAGCTCATGCATTGCAATTTCAATACAACTGATATCCACTTCAAACATCCTCAGGGTCAATTCTGTTCTTTGGAGGTGGCCTGATTAAGGAATATGGAAGCATTGAATCAAGTTACAAATTACAATATCTGATTAAAAGGCAAAAAAAACCTTGAGAAGCTGAATGTCTTACTCCTTCTCAGACATTGGTTCCAGATGTCTCGGCTGCAGGCTGGAGAGCTAGTGAGAACCTAATATTGCCACTTTTTGGGATGTCCCACTACATTTTATGCGATAGGCTCTTCACAAATCAGCAGTGGGCCTAGCCCCGAGTTCAAAGATACTGACGGCAAAAGTCCCACCAGGAGCTGCTTACCAATCAGAGGCTGGCAGCCCTTTTACACTTCAGCTCCACTGGGAGTGTAGTGGATGCAGCCACCCAAGTCTGAGATCATTGCTGAGTCAGAGATAGGAAGTGGCCTTGGGCTATGGGATCTGAATACAGGCCACTATTGGATGTGCATTAGAACAAGGGCTAGAACTCTCCAGAGGATCTGCTGTCCCAATGGCTAGATAGGTGCAAAAGTAGAGCAGTAAATTTCAACAATTATCTCTTTTTTTCAATGTTTGTTTTTTTCAAGAACTGTATAATTTTTGATACAAAGTCATGCCTATGTTTGTGTCATCTAACGGCACAATTTGCTACAGCGTATCTTTACAGTGAAGAGTGAGAGATGTGAGAAAGATTTTAACTGGTTGGCTTGACCTTGTGTAAACGCTATCATTTTTGAGGTCTTTAGTGTAATCCTAAAGGGTAATTAGCAGCTAATAATTGTAGTTAATTGAAATCATACAACATGGTAATTAATCTATTAACAAAAAATCTTTACGCTGCAAACTCACCATGAAATTATCTTCAAATGTAGATACCACATGTTAAAGTAATTCTTTAAAAGATCAATCTTAGTTCCAATGTTCTTTTATTAATTTTAGGAAATCTAAATGAACAATATATAGTAATTTTTTTTAAATGTCATTACCTGGAGATTTTTGTATTGAGTTAGCTTCTAGACGTAGAAGATTAATATTTTGATATGAGATTAAAAGAGTGGTTTGCATCTATATGAAAATAATTATGACACATTTTTCAAGCACAAGCAAACCTATCATTTTGGAGCATTATATTCCATGCCCAATTCATCGTCGTGTTTTGAAAAATGCAAAATTAGATAAAATATTAGATCAAGGAATAGCCTTGTACATATGCTAATCAGAACCTGCTTTACAACCCCAATCTAAAATTAATCATATCTGAATAATGTTTCCATTTTGGCACATACTACCTACTTCTGTTTGTTTCCCACCTCACAAAATTTACCTAAAGACTACTGTGGACATCTGAGCTAGCTAATGCACATTTTATGCTGATCCGCTGCATTGGAGTAGTTGTTTGGCAACCCTAGCTCAGTAGTTTCATACTAATGAGGCACGGGTACATTTTTGTGATCCTTTGGCCAACCTCTTGGGCATGTGTTGTCCAATCCAGACAGTAATTAATTTCTCACTCTGTGCTCCAGCCTTCTGAATTTCTTACCCAATTCATACTCCCTTGCTCATATCTCCTGAGTTTCAAGAGCAACTCAAAAATATATTTGCCTTTTCTTTCTTTCTTGGGTATCTATTGTATTGTCTTATTCCTAATTGTAAAACATCATCCTGGAATGCCATTCAGACTTGAGTTCATTGTGGCATATGCAATTGATTTTATGCCATCAATGCTGTATCAGCCGATGTTTTTAAAATGCATTTAATTTGCCTTAGAATCTTAATAATATCTTATATAATTTGGTCAGATGTTAAGTTGTCTATTGTTTCTTTACCTTTGTGTCCTCTTGTAACAGAATGAATATTACTGTAGGTTAGATTTCCTGTGGAAGAATAAATTCAAAAGAGAATGCGAAGAGATAGAAACCATGGAAAACCTCAACAGAGTATTGTTGGAAAATGTGCTTCCTGCTCACGTGGCTGAACATTTCTTGGCTCAAAACTGGAAAAATGAAGTAAGTAGACTTTAATCCAAATGCATAAAATTCTGTATGTGCCTATGTACTAGATAAAATTAAATATGGCTGGACGATTGAGTAAATATATGAAATGGAACTAAAACAGTGCAGACTATTAAAGTCCTCTGTTTGATGCTGTTTTCTGCATTGCATCAGTGAAGACTTAATCAATCTTATTTTTTCTTCAGCAAGGTCCAAAATCATGAAGAAATTGAGTGCACAAAAGTACAGCACAAAACTAGAATACAACAGAATTTGCAAGCACTCAGAGAGAGGACTTGCAGTCTCTCTAACCAATTCTGGCACTACCTCCATGATTCCCATGCTGGGAATGGCATTCATGTGGAAGTCTTCTCCAGAATCTGAGGATTCTTTAAAGATTACTACGAGGGCATCCACTGTTTCTGTAGCTACTTCTTTTAAAATCCTAGGATGCATTCTGTCAGGTCCAGGAGAATTTATTGGTCTTTAGTCCCATTAGTTTCCCTAGCACTTCTTATCTAGTGATAATTATTGTATTTATTTCCTCTCCAACTTTTGCCCGTTGATTATTTAGAAATTTTTGAATGCCACTGTATCTTCAACTGTGAAGACTGATGAAAAATATTTGTTCAACTTCTCTGCCATTTCTTAGTTCCTCGTTGATATTTCCCCAACCTTGTTCTGTTCATAGCATCATAGAATGCCTACAGTGCGGAAAAAACACCATTTGGCCCATCAAGTCTGCACTAACCCTCTCAAGAGCATTCCACCCAGACCCAGCGCATACTCATAACCCTGCATTTACCATGGTTAACCCACCCAGACTGCACATCCCTGGAAACTGTGGACAATTTACAGTGGCCAATCCACCTAACCTGCACATCTTTGGACTCCTTCTCTAATGTTTAACATTGTTCTCTGTTTTTGCTTTTTCCATTTGAAATAAGCTATTGCTGTCCATTTTGACATTACTTGCACATTTACCCTCGAGGTTATGTTTTCTTTTTTCTTTAGTTGTCGTTTTTTAAAAACGTTTTCCCAATCCTCTGTCGTACCAGTAATCTTTGCCTTATTTCGTGTTTGCTTTCAAGATGATATTGTCCTCAATTTCCTTGGTTAACCATTGTTGATTTATACCCTCATTGGAATCCTTCCTTCTCACTGATTTATATCTTTGTGGTGAGCCCTGAATTATTTTATTAAACGTTTGCAATTATTCCTCAACCATCTTTGCTATTACATGCTTTTCTCAGTCCACTTCAGCTAACTCTGCCCTCATTCCTTCGTATTTAGCCTTATTGAAGTTTAACATAGTTGTATCCAACCCAAATTCCTCCCTCTCAAACAAAATTCTAAATGTTAAGTCTACTGTTTCCTAGAGGATCTTTTACTCTGACATCATTTATTAAACTCCCTCAGTACACATCACCAGATCTAAAATGGGCTATTTTAGTTGGATCCAGAACATAATGCCCCAGGAAACTGCCTAAAATATATTTTATGAATACTTCCTTATGGATAACTCCACCAAACTGACTAGCCCAACCTATGCAAAGATGAAACTTACCTATGATTGATGTAATGCCATTTTAAATTCCCTTATTATCTCCTGATTTACTCCAGGACCCACTGTATAGCTACCGTTTGGGGACCTATAGACTATTCCTATCAGTGTCGTCTTCCCTTGTTATTTCTGACCTCCACCCATATGGATTCTATATTTTCCAATCCAAGATCAATTCTTGCTATTATACTTATTCCATCCCACTTCAACACTGCTATCCCACCAGCCTTTACTTCCTGCTTGTCCTTACAAAAAGACATACCCCTGAACATATAGTTCCTAGTTTTGATCTTATTGTAACTGTATCTTTGTAATGGCTATAAGATCATACCCATTAACCTGTATTTGTACTGTTAATTCATTTATCGTGTTCTAAATACTATCCACTTCCAGTAAAGAAACATTAATTTTGCCTTTTAACCATTTGTCTCCTTTGACTCTATTTGCTACTGTTTTTATATGCTTGTATCCTTTGTCCCTTCTTGTATTCTGTGAATTGTTATCCAAATAGCTGCCCTGTAATGCTGACATATCCTCTTGCTTTACAAGCCTACATTTTCCCTCTCCAATACTCTCCATCACCTCTAATCAATTTAAAACCCTCTCTACAGACCTCTTATTCAATTTGCCAGTATGTTGGTCTCAGTATGGTTCAAGTGAAGCCCATCCACCAGAACAGCACCTTTCTACCCCAGTATTGATGCTAATTCCCAATGAACTGAAACTGATACCACCCTCACTAATCTTTGAGCCATGCAATTAGTCCTTGACTTTATTTACCCTGTGCCAATTTACCCATAGCTCAGGTTGTAACATGGTGATTAGTACCTTGGAAATGCAGCTCCTCTCCAACTCCCAAGTTCTTCTCTAACCCCAAGATGATGTCCTTAACCCTGACACATTGGTGTACACACAGCGGCAAGACCATGGAGGGCAAACACCTGCCCCACCCCATCTATCTTTCCAATGGAGGGAAAGCAACCTGAGTTTTTGTAGACAAGGGAACAATATCAGAAATGTGAGATAACAAGGTGTAGAGCTGGATGAACACAGCAGGCCAAGCAGCATCAGAGGAGCAGGAATGCTGACGTTTTGGGCCTAGCCCCTTCGTCAGAGAGAAGGGTCTAGGCCCGAAACGTCAGCCTTCCTGCTCCTCTGATGCTGCTTGGCCTGCTGTGTTCATCCAGCTCTACACCTTGTTATCTCAGATTCTCCAGCATCTGCAGTTCCTACTATCTCTGAAACAATATCAGAAATGTACCCAATTAGGCACTTGCATCCTTTTGCCCTTCCTCTCCCTCTGAAAACGGTCATGTACATCTCTACAGGATATTCCCAGGTACATAAGAGCCTGATCATTAAAAGAAATAGGCAGTCAGTTCATAATATTTTTTCACAAAACACAGATACATTTAATCAAATGTGAAAGGGAGCCTGATTAGCCAGTTATACAGACTATGACATGAGAAATAAATGCAAGATTGTAGTTAGATACGGAAAATATTTGGATTGAATGGAGGATTCAAATTTTCAGTGGAAACAAATAATTTCTAAACGTACATTTCTAATGTTACATCTCTTATTTTCTTGGTAGGATCTTTACCATCAGTCATACGAATGTGTCTGTGTCATGTTTGCATCCATCCCAGATTTCAAAGAATTCTATACAGAGTCGGATGTAAATAAAGAAGGCTTGGAATGTCTACGATTACTGAATGAAATTATTGCTGACTTTGATGACGTAAGTGTACAACAGTATAGTCACTTGTTAGCCCATAGATACGATGATGATCTTTCTAAAAGCAAGGAATGATTATTAATATTCTGATGATAATCTTTGATGGAGAAAGTGCATTAATCAACTTACCATTTTTTGTCATCTTCTATTCATATTTTCATTTTAATCACTACAAAGTTACAGGTAATTGCAAAAGTTAGGACAAGTGGGCAGGGCAAGAAGTAAAATCATCAGTGGAGATGCTGTGTAAATCTTTAAATAAGAATGAGTGAATACGAGTGGGGAAGCAATAGTCTATTGGGATCATTGCTTGACTATTGATTCAGAGACCCAGGCAATGTTCTGGGAACTGGGTTTAAAATGCACCATGGCAGATGGTAGAATTTGAATTCAATAATAATCATGAAACCAGGTCAGTTGTCTGGAAAGCCTATCTGTTTTCCTAATGTCCTTTAGGGAAGAAAACTACTGTCCTCCCCTGGTCTGGACTATATGTGACTCTAGCAATGTGGTTGACACTTAACTGCCTTCTGTGTAATTAGAGATGAGCAATAAATGCCAACATAGCTAGTGACATCCACATTCTGTGAAAACAGTCCCAATCACCTGGACGTTAGAAGAGAAGCATTGGATGAGGATAATGTGATCAATGATAATGTTAAAGATTTAAAGTTTTGGCTGACAGTACCATCCACAATTTCATTCATATTGGATTGAAAGGCAGAGACAACTCATACAAAATGCAGGCAATAAGATCAACTGCAGTCTTGATTGAGATTTGTCTCTGTCTGCTCTCATGACAATTTTAATCATTGCTCCTACCAGCTGTAGGTAAATGTGGTGGATTGAGGAAGAGGAGTTATGGTGGTGGGCAGTGTGATAAGATGTCGAAAGACTTCTTTCCTATCCACCACACCTAGTTTGTCACTTGTATCCCCTCATGTCGCATTCAAGCTTATCTTGTTTATGAGTCCCAACTTCTGTTCCCTCTTCCTGATTGACACTAAGCATAGCGTAAAGGGTCAGCTATATCTTTATTCCATGATTACCTACTGAGCATGAAGAGAAGAAACTATATTGCAGTGATGTCAGATCATATTAAATCAGAGCCTGTGTTTGTAAGACTGCAGAAACAAGACCTTTTCTATCATGCTTCATGTACAATTATGTTAAGAATGTTAGTTAACGTTCATCATGAGAGTGTGAAGAATAACTTTCTACACTAATTTCCTGATCAACCACATTCCTTTGCAGGTCCCCATGCTAGCACATATTACAAATGCTTCCATCTCCTCAGTACTATCCCACATTCTGTTAAAACAATCACCCCTCCTCAAAAACCTTACCTTTGAGTCTTCAATTCTTCAGACAGCTACTTCATTTTCTCTTGGATTTCTGAAGTCCAGAAAAATGTTGCCTCTGAAATTCATACTTATCATTTGCACAGTTCACTGTTAGTTTCTACACAATCATATTTCCACCACTACCAAAGCACTGAAACAGTGACATCCTTTACGACTGAGCAAAGTGCAATTTCCTCCCGCATCTTGATGTTTCTAAAATTTTTAACTTCCTTTTTAAATGTTTTGCTTCCCTAAAGATTCTCTTCCTTTATCCAACAATTGGGACAGTGCTCACTTGGTTGAACTTTTTCTGATCCAATTATTTCCAGAATGTCATGAATAATGATTTTTCTCCCCACTACTTCACACTGGGATTTCAATCCTTGGAGCCCACCTATTCGTTGTTTACATGCTGCTCCTCAGTGGCATCATTTGAACATGTGCTGTCACTTTGAAGATCTGCTTTTCACTCACTCTTTCCATTGTATGTGTTGTCAAACAATCTTCACAACATCTAGACATGAAAGTGTCACAATTTTCTTCAGCTAAATATTGCAAAGAGCAACAGCACCACTTTTAAATCTGCCACATTCTGTACACTTGTCGCTGATTCCATCCAGATTTCCTGCTGCTATTTCAGGTTTAAGCTGACTTTCACAATCACAGTCTTCTTTCTCATTCCAACTGCTTCTAACACTACTTCCTCTCCATCACAAAAGTCTTTTGCAAAATCACCATTTCTTTCCCTACTTAAGCTTAGCCAATCATGAATCTATGCCTTTGATGCCTCCAAACTTAACAATTCCAGTGTTTTCTTGGTCAACCTCCCATCATCCATAAACATCAACTTATCCAAAATTGCAGCTGTATCTTAATCTACACCAATTGCTGCTAGCCCATTACCACTGTGCTTGCTGACCTCCATAATTTAATAAATAAAAGTGAGACAGGACACTGTGGAATACAGATCCTATGATGTGAACTCCAGGATGTTTTTAGTATTTTGGACATTGTCAGCTGGAGGAACTTGAGCTACCAGTTTTGGTTCTTTGAGCAACAGCTGAAAACACTCAAGTGTTGAGGCTGAACTGTGTGCATAGCATTTTAGAGTAATTGATCGCCCAACACTTTAAGGCTGTGCCATTGGAGAGGGAATGGATAATGGCCAGAAAGTCAAGGAAGAGCAAGAAAGTATTGCAGGAGTCCCCTGGGTGCATCTTATTCTCTAATTGGTATTCAGTTCAGAAAGCTCATTACAGTGATGTCCTCTGGGCAGTGTAGCCAAGCCACGTTCAAGGCGCAGCTGTTGAAGAGTTTGTGGAGAAGATTGGAAAAGCAATGGGGTTTTCTATCTTGAGGGGAACAGACAAGTGTTTCAGTGGCCAAAAGATCATTGCCGTCTAGTACCAGGATCCTTGCTGTCACTGAGTAGCAATAGACTATTCTACAGAGGATCCGTTCCGTCTAGTACCAGGATCCTTGCTGTCACTGAGTAGCAATAGAATATTCTACAGAGGATCCGATGCTCGTATAACAGATTAAATTCAGTTCGGAGCAGTGAGAAGTGATACATTTTGGTAGGAAGAAAAGGGAAAGGTAATATCAATTAAAGACTATATTAGAACATAGTGAGAAGGAGAAAACCATTCGATACTTGGAGCCTACTCTTCAATTCAGTAAGATCATGACTGATCTGGTTCTGGCCTCAACTCCAGTTTCCTGATTGATCCCTATAACCCTTGACTGCCTTATCCATCAAAAATATAATGCTGCCTTGAAAATTCAATGGCCTTTGCTGTTTTGTGGAGAACGGAATGCCATTGACTAATGAACCTATGAAAGAAAATAAATTCCTTATTTCCATCTTAAGAGTGAGACTTATTGTTCTAACACTGTGGGCCTTAGTCCTGGTCTCTCCAACATGGGAAGCATCCTTTCAGAATCCATTCTGTCAAGTCTCCTCAGGATCTTACATGTTTCAGTAAGAAGTGGAGAATGCACCAATTTGATGATAACTGACAGAAAGAACGTATACAAAGAACTGCAAAGTTAGAAAGAACACGTACAAACACCGTACCTGTTTCAACTGAACAAAATAGACAGTAATCATTCTCAAGTTTATTTCTCAGGGCAATGTAATGACCAATCAGGATCAACCTACCTGGTTTAACATTTAAACAAAGCTTTGCAATTAACTGTTGGTGAACATTCTGCGAACTACTTTTATTATAATTGTATTCTTTGCAAACAAGGAAACAAAAGTTATACAGAGTATTCCAGATGTGATCTCACTCCTGTAGAACAGCAGTAAAATTTCTCTGCTCTTATATCTCATTTCTATTGCAGTAAACACTTCAACTTTGTATCTAATTCTGGCCACCAATACTTTAACGATTCAAAGACTTTGCAGAAAATGCAGAAAAGATTTGCAAAAATGGTTTCAGGATCGAGCGACTAGGTCAGATAGAGAGTTTGGAGAGGCTGGGGCTGTTCTGTATTAAGAAGAGAAGATTGAGAGAAGATTTGTAGGAAGAGTTCAAAGACATGAGACTGAGTTTAGACTGAGCAATATTATACAACCTGTAGAAAGATTGAGAACCGGATGTGTTTAATTTAAGGTGATTGAAGAATCAAAGGTAGCAGAAGAAAAATTCTTTCTACACAATAAGTAGTTAGGATCTGAAATGCACTGCTGAGTTCAGTGAAGGGTAATTCAATCATGGCTTTCAAAAGGGAATTGGAAAAGCACAAAGAAGGAAAAGAAATGCTATAGCGAACAGCAGAGGAGTGGGACTAAATAGCTCTTGCAGGGAGTAGGAGTGGACTTAATGGGCCAAAGACATGCTTTTGACCATTTGATACTCTGCAATTTTGTGTATGAGACATCCATCACACACTGTTGTTGACAATCAGTTTTGCTTTTCCATATGGATTTTATTTCTGCTAGTTAAGATATGCATTAATATTCAAATGCTTTGGATTGTACATTGGGCAATATTCAATTTGCTTTTCCCAAACCACGATGGAGATTCAATCACTCCACAGGTTGACTTTCAGAATACCTTGAAGGACGGCCCTTGTTCACCCTAATTCAGTACATTCCTGCTTTGACTTGAAATATCAGTTGAATATTGTTATATTTTTCTAAACAATCAATTGCATCATTGCTTATTTCTGCATTTTTGGAATATATTGGTCTAGAATTCAATTGAATATTTTGATGTACGCAATCTTAATTGTTTGTAGCTCATTTATGACAACTTTGAAAAAATCTGTTGCTTTCATATTATGTTAAAACAATCATAGCACGTTCACCCTTACATATAATATACACATGCATACACATCACTGTTATTTGAAATGTAATTACCTGATTTTCGTTTAAAAGCCCACATAAATGATATTTTTATTTTCTGACAGCTATTGTCCAAACCTAAATTCAGCGGAGTAGAAAAGATCAAAACTATTGGGAGCACGTATATGGCAGCAACAGGGTTAAGTGCTGCCACAGTTCAAGAGTTCAGCCAGGTAAGATATATCCTGTTCTCTTTCCATAAAATTAATTTTCAATGGCACATTTTCACTACCAGTCAGTAACCAATTCTAAATTTACAAAGGCATACTATAATTTTAGAAACAAACTTTCGCAAAGGAGATGGCGTGAAATCGGTATGAGTAGCAACATCATGGAGAGTAAGACAATTGCCAATGGAAACATATAACACATCTAGGAGTCACATTTCCTGTGGTACAAGCAGACACCATACAAATATGTGGTCACTGCTACTAACTGTACTTTCTCTAGTTTTGCTGCTCCCTACTTTTTGAAGGAAAAATGAATAATTATAGGAATAATTTCACATTTATCCGTACAGGGGGTGATACATACTCACTGTACAATTTGGATCAAAGATTGATTGGGAAAAGGAAAAGGTCATTCAACCTATTGACCCAAGCATTGTTAATTAGACTTGAACTGTACCTCAAATTTATTATCCTGCCATTGTTCTATATCTTATGAAAACTTAACATAACAAAACTCTCTTTTAGTCATGAAAACTAATTTGTCTAGTTTCTACAGCTGTTTTCTGGAAAGAGTTTCAGATTTCTATAATTAAGGGTGACATGGTGGCTTTTGATTAGCACTGTTGCCTCACAGTGTCAGGAACCAGGTTCAATTCCAGCCTTAGGTGACTGTCTGTATAGGGTTTGCACGTTCTCTCTGTGTCTGTGTGGGTTTCCATCAGGTGCTGTGGTTTCCTCCCGTAGTCCAAAGATGTGCAGTTTAGGTGGATTGGCCATGCTAAATTACCCCATAATGACCAGGGATTTGCGAACTAGATGGATTAGCCATGGTTGATGCTTTATTATGCAGATAAGGTTGGGGACTGGGTCTGGATGGAAGATTTTCAGAGGGTTGCTGCAGACTCATTGGGCCGAATGGCCTCTTTCCTCACTGTGGGGATTCTATGATTCTTTTGTGTGAATGGCTTTAATTGTAAAGTCTATGGCCATGATTTTGCCAACATGAATTAAGCCCTGACATAATACTAAATGGGAGTCCTGAGCCCACAAGAGCAGTTAGCCAAATCATTGAGGAAGTTAGGGGGCATTCTTCTTGACAGTAGACAATTAAAAGTCCGCCATCAAGCCTGCCAGCCGTATCAGAGATGAGTCAACACAGCAGCCTCTGTGGCACTACAGATAAAGGTAGCCATTGCTGTGGTTACAATGATAAGAAGCCCTTGCAGGGAGGTAGAAGAATTAATTTCCCCTGGCTGGCACAAACCAGACAGGTCCCACTAATCAAAATATTAACCCTTCCAACAGTAGCTTGGACCTGCAGGGCAACTGTTGGTGCTGGGGGCCCTGCTCTTTGAAGCATGGAGTCTCTGGAAAGGGACTGGGAATTGAGGGCAAATTACTGATATTGCTGGGGATTTTTTCGAGTGGCCAGCAACAAAAAGTAGGGATGATGGGCAGGTGCTCAAATTGGCAGAATGTGGCCAGTGTTGTCCAATAAGGATCTGTGCTGGGGTTTGAATTATTCACATTATTTATTAACAACTTGGATAAATGACATAGAAGGTAACATATCCAAACTTGCTGATAATGCAAAGTTAGACTGCATTGTTGACAGTTTAGATGATAGCATAAAATTACAAAGGGAATAAGTGAGTAGACTAAATGAATGGACAAAACTGTGGCAGATGGAATTCAGTGTAAGCAAGCGTAAGCTTATCCATTTTGTACTGAAAAATGATAGACCAGGATACATTCTAGATGGTACGAAGTTAAATACCATGGATGTCCAAAGAGACTTGTGGGTTCAGGTGCATAGTTCTTTAAAATGTCACAAACCAGTATAGAAAATAATCAAGAAAGCTGATGAAATGTTGGTCTTTATATCTCGGGGACTGGAGTACTAGTATGCACAAGTTATGCTGCAGTTATACAAAGGCCTGGTTAGACCCCACTTGTAATACTGTGAGCAGATCTGGGCACCACACCTTGGGAAGGATATATTGACCTTGGAGGGAGTATAATGTAGTTTTGCAAGAATAACACGTAGACTTCAGAGGTTAAGTTATGAGGACAGATTATACAAATTAGATCTGTTTTCTCCAGAATTCCGATGGTTAAGTGGTGATCCAAATGAAGCCTTCAAGATATTAACAGTAAAAGACAGAGTATACAAGGATAAATTATTTCTACTTGTTGAGGAATCTAGCACTAGGGGGCTTAGCCTGAGAATTTGGGCCAGACCATTCAGGAGCGATGTTATGAAGCATTTCTACATACAAAGGATGGTAGATATTTGAAACTCCCTTCCACAAATGGCAATGAATGCAGGATCAGTTCTTAATTTTAACTCTGAGATAGATGATTTTTTTGTTAAGCAAAGCGTTTAAAGTGATATGGGCCAAAGGTAGGTATATGGAATCAGCTATGATCTCATTGGATGGTGAACAGGTTCGAGGGGCTGAATGGCCTACTCTTGTTCCTATGTTGCTATTGTCCTTCTTGATAGAAACACATGCTTTTTGAGTAAAGGATTAACTAAAAGCACTGATACTGTTGAAAGAAAGGAACTTAAACATTGCTAAATGGGGACAACATATCAAAATTTCTTGTCTTGCACTCATCAGGGTCAGCATGCAGGACACTGACTTGAATCTATCTGCCTGGTCTGAGAATTAAGATTGACAGTTAGCTGTTCATGCTGCATCTCAATGCCAGGCTCAACCAACCAGCACCCTTTTCTCATACTGTATAACTTCGTGTCCATTTTTATCAAGTCAGTTTATCACATTCTTGATTTCTTGTCCCCATATCTATATGACCAAGTAATAACTTAGAGATTTGATTTATTATTGTGACATATACTGAGCTACAGTGAAAACTAGTGTTTTGCTTGCTAACCAGACAAATCATACCTTATGTAAGTACATCAGGTTAATAGAACAGAATGCAGAACATAGTTTTACAGTTGCAGAGAAGGATCGGCAGTAATATATGAGAGGTCTGTTCATAAATGTGGTAACAGCGGAGAAGAAGCTGTTCTTAAATCTGTTGGTATGTATTTTGAAAACTTCTGATTCCTCTGCCCAATGGAAGAGATTGTAAGAGAGTATAACCGGGGTGGAAAGGGTCTTTGATTATATTGGCTTCACTTTCCCGAGGCAGTGGGAAGTATAGACAGATTTGAAGGAAGATTGGTCTTCGTGAGAGCAATCCATTCAGATTAATTTAGTTAAATCCAACATATATACACTCTATTTTGATTTCAGTTTTATTACAGGTGTTCTATCACAGTCCTGAAATGTACTGAAGAAGATCAGTTGACTCAAAACATTTATCCTGTTTCTATCTCAGATTTTGCCAGACATGTTGAGTTTCTCCAGCAATTTTTGTTTGCTCCTGAAATGATTGCCTTGTAAAATTTTTTAAACCGTCCAAATATTTTTTAACTGAAACATACAACATCTTTAGCGATTATGCTCCTATTTATAATTTACAGCACAAACTTCCATGAAGGAGAGAAAACTGTAATGGTCTGTCTGGTTATTAAACATATTGCCATGGTTACGCTGGAATTGATATACCAAGGCTCACTTTCAAAAATGAGTAACATGCTTCAGCACCTCAACTTCAAAGTGCAAGAGCTTTATTAGGATCTGCAGATGAGTTTAATTTGGTAATTGCAGCATCAATTTGAATTGCTAATTAGAATTATAACTATGAAAGTGGTTCATGTGTTAATGACAGCAGCCAATTAAAATTACTTACTGTAGATTTTTAGAATTCAAATAATGTAAAGAGTCTATTCACCCTCTTCATTGTTTAGTGTATGTCAGCAATATTACTAGTGATGCGATCTGCTATAATCTTCCCCAAAGCGAGCTCTCCATCGATAAAAGCTACTTGACATTTTCCTTTTCAAAGATGTGTCTGCATAGACACTAAAATGAATGCAGATTATTTTCTCTAGAGTGGCTGTTGATATATAAGTGAAATCATTTGTTTACCCACCATGTGAATTACATCAAAATGAATAGTCTTGTTTAGTTGAGACAGCATAACACACATAATTGCTAACCTAGATAAAAATAAAAAATGCTAATAAATATCTTTACAAAAAAGTTGACTAATGGGGGAAGCAATTGAAACCTGAAAAAAAAACAAGTGAGTTTGGGTTGTCTGGGAGTGAAAGTCTGTGAAATCTGTTTCTCAATTCAATCTTATCTCTAGCCAAAAGATTTCTGGATTTAACTGAGGCCAGGACGTGGGCAGTCAACCAAACTGCTTGAAGTAGATGGGTTAGTACTTAAATATCATAATGAACCTGAGACCTTCATTGCCATTCTACTTTTGGAATTTAACTATCAGCTATGTTTTCAGAGCATCTGAAAATCCTGTAGCTTTTTCAAGGTGAGGACTAGGCATATCTAGGAGTTGAGTGTCTTTAATTGCTACTTCCTCGATCCAGGCCTGCCTCATTGGCCATGGCTCCACTCATGAGCTTCTCTCCAAGGCTCTCATGAGTCCTGTCTTTCTCTAATGCCTCATACCCCACCACCAGACCTCCAATCTCCCTTTGTTCCTCAAATTTGTCCCATCACAAAGCACATGGTAGCCCACCCCTAACTTTAAACCATCAATTTCCCTGACCAGCCCTTAGAGTTCCCACTCTGAGGTTCCTATTCCCCCACCACAGCCTAATTTTCTACCCCCTGAGATGCAATTCCCCATCTCCAACCACAACACCTGCTCCCACCTCAATTCCACAACATTTAAAATGATAAAAGTTAAGGTTGAGTGAGTTCTATTCTATTCTATTTTTCTGCCTTACTGTTTCATTGCCACCAAACCCAGGTAACTTGGAGCACTGCCTCAAAGATCAATAATGATCCTGGTGGTGGACAGCAATCGTCATTTCTGCTCCATGGCTTTGAGCAACTTTTCCACATTCAGAGTCTTATGTTTTTCCAGTATTTGGGATAATTCTGTCTCTTTTTTTGCTGGTTTCTCTTCCTTTTGCAAACACAGAAATGTAGAAAATAGAAGCAGGAATAGACCATTCAGTCTTTTAAGCCTGGTCCGACATTCAATATAATCATGGCTGATCATCTAACTCCGTACCCTGTTCCTGCTTTCATCCCATACATCTTGATCCCTTTATCCCCAAGAAATGTATCTAGCTCCTTGAAAATATTCAATGTTTTGGCTTCAACAATTTCCTATGGCAGAGTATTCCACAGGCTCACCTTTCTGTAGTTGAAGAAATTTCTCCTCATTTCGGTCCTAATGGCCTACTCCATGCCCTTAGACTGTGACCTCTGGTTCTGGACTCTCTGGTCATCAGAAACATTCTTCCTGTCTTTACTCTCTCTGGTCCTGTTAGAATTTTATGGGTTTCAATGAGATCCCCGCTCATTCATCTAAACTCGAGTGAGTACATTCCTGACCAATCCAGTTTTTTTTTCATACATCAGTTCTGCCGTCCCAGGAAATAGTCTGGTAAACCTTCATTGCACTTCCTCCATAGCCAGAACATCTTTCCTCAATAAAGGAGACTGAAACTGCATACAATACTCCAGTTGTCATCACCGAGGCCCTGCACAATTGGAGTAAGATATTCCCATTCCTGTACTTGAGGAGTGGGTAACCTTGTTGAATCGGTTGATGATGAATATGCAGTGGTTAGCATTTAAAGAATATGTGCATCAGTTACAATTAATTATTCCTGTCTGGCAGACAAATAAAAGAGGAAAGGTGACTCAACCATGACTTACAAAATAAATTAATAATAGTATTAGATCCAAAGAGAAGACTTATAAAATTGCCAGAAAGAGCAAGAATTGGTAGCATTTTAAAATTCAGCAAAAGAGGACAACAAGTTTGATCAAGAAAACAGAGTATGGATGGTGAATTACAGAGAATATAGAAATTTACTGTAAATGTTTCAATAAATATGTGAGCAGAAAAAGATTAGCACAATCAAATGTTAATCCCTTGCAGTCAGATAATTGGTGCACTGCATGCAGTTTTGATCTCCCTGTCTAAGAAAAAATACATTTGCCAAACAAGAAGTTCAATGGAAGTTCACTAAGCAGATACCAGGGATGACAGGACTGTCCTATGAGCAGAGATTGATTCAACTGGGCCTGTATTCATTAGAGTTTAAATGAACAAGAGGGGATCTAACTGAAACATAAAATTCTAACAGAGCTGGACAGACTGGATGCAAGGAAGATGTTTTGTCTGGCTGGAACCAGGGTAGGCCATTTAGGTGTGAGATGAGAAAACGCCTCTTCGCTCAAAGAGTAGTAAACCTTTGAAACTCTCTATGACAGAAGGCTATGAAGACTAAGTTACTGAATATATTCAAGAAACAGATAGTTTTTTAAAGATTTTAAAGAAATCCAAATGTTATGAAGAGAATGTGGGAATATAGCATTGAGATGGAGAAACAGTCATAATCATATTGAATGAGGGAGCAAGCTCAAATGGCCTACTCTTGCTCCTAGTTTCTACATTTCTACTAAAATTATTGATTAGGCATGACTCAGGAAATTCAGTCTCTTTTGTAGCAAAGTCAGGGAACCAGGGAGAAGTCCAGCGATGCGCACTTTTTGGAATGATGCAAGGAAAATCTGATTAATTGTTTCTTCTTCAAACAATTCAAGTTCATGTTATTGTCTTGCTGCCTTTGGTTTAACCTGGCACTGCCCCTCACCTCATTTCAGTGTAGTACTCACTCCTTCCTTGTCAGCCAGGCATGTATTCTCCGTCCCTATTCAAGTTAACACATCTGTCCCTCTCTCTCCATCATTGAACTGCACCGTTCATTGCTTCCAATCTATTTCAAATTGGTACTCTTTTAGTAACCTTTTTCCTCACAAGAACTAGTTACTTTCCAAGATAAGCTTAATCTGTTTGTATAAGTGGATGGTTTATTATTCCTCCCTTCATGCAATTCTCATCACATTCTCCTGCCTGGAGTCAGGTGACCTGTTGTTGCCATGCACGCTTTTAATGTTGCAGGATTTGAGACAGAAGCCATGTCATGGGCCTCTGATCAGAATCATTAAAAAAGTAGCAGATGGCATCCATGTTTATGTCAATTGTACTGGGTATTGATAGACCAAGGATTGCAGGGTTACAAGGATCCCAGTGGTGAATTTTAAGCCTAAACAAAATCTAAGTTAGTTCCAAAACTGAAGATATTTGAACATAAGCTAACGTTTTTTTTTAACAATTGTGTTAATAAATGAAAGCTACTTTTTGCATTTTGATTTCCTTCATCAAAAATCATACCAGTAGATTTGTGATTTCATGTAATGTTGTAAAGGACAAGGTAGTAGTAGTGACATGGTAATATCACAGGACCAGTAATCCAGAGATCCAGGCTAATGTTCTGGGAGTAAGGGTTCAAATCCCACCATACCAGACAGTGAATTTTGAATTCAATAAAAATCTGAAATAAAAAGCTAGCCTAATGGTGACCAAGTAACCACTGCTGATTGTTATAGAAACCCCTCTGGTTCGCTAATGTCCTTCTATCTTCTATCCTACCTGATCTGGTTAGCCCCACTGCTATTTGGTTGATTCAGAACAGCCCTTTGGGCAGTTAATGCTGACTTCATTATCAACTGCCCTCATCACTTGGACAAGTAATAAAAAAGTTAGTATCTTCTCCTTCTTCCTAAAAAATTCTGATCACTAAACACTGGCAGATATTAATCTCGCAATTAAATGATTTCTAACTAAATCTATCAGAGTAATTTTATTAGGCCAAAAAGAACAAGTAGGCAAAATAATGCAAATTAATATGCATTAGCGCACTTCTAATTTGTGCAATAAACTGGTAATTTTATGATTGACAACATTTTCAGGAAAGCTCATAAATTGATACAAGAGGCAGAAAAACAGCACACACATCGTACAAGATTTAACAGGCAAAACAAAAATCGGGATCATTGTATAATTTTGAGCTGCAGACGGTTAGCCACAGCATCAGTGCACCAACAATATAAAAATATAATAATTTCTTAATATTTAACTGATCATATATTTTTAAAAATTCTTAATCTCAAGTGGCAAATAATGCAAATTATTTTAAACAAAGTAGCATTTAAAATATTTAAATTCAGGTTTGAAATTTATGTAGATCGCTGAACTTTGATAAACAATTTATATATTACCACTCCATCTAGTTCATCATGAGGACTGTACAGCACTTAGTCATTAGCATGAGTATTGACCCATATGTTCTGTACATGGTTTAATAGAATTTTGAGCGTTTGTAATTTACATCCACAGATTTTCTTTTTACTGAGTTCTACAAACAATTTCTAAATACTTTTGAATCCACCTTTCATTTGTAAACTAGGAATTGAGTTATTACTTTTTAATATCCATCTAAGTTTCTAATATCTAAATTCCCCTTGATTTGCAGGAAGCAGATAGACAGTACACACACATTGGAACCATGTTGGAATTTGCATTCGCACTCATGATAAAACTTGATGTGATCAACAAGCATTCTTTCAATGACTTTAAGTTGCGTATTGGTATGTATGTTTACATTTCCTGCTCTCATGATCTGTGTGTACTAAGTACTTCTTTGATGCTTTTAAGCTGCATTTAACCTGCATTAAGGGAATTAAGCTGCATAAACTTGAGGCCACTACTTTCTTACAATGATGCAGAATTGGCGATGTTGCACTATTATATAGATTACAGGCCAGATAGACCTGTACCTTTAGCTACATGACATCATGATGTGTGATGTTCTAGCATAAAGGTACCTGCCTTGCCTTCAGTCACACACTCTGTGTAATAGAGTCCGTGTTGTGTATGAAACATAAAGACAGTAAGCACAACACTACGTTATGTGTGTAAGTCAGTGATATTGTTCACTCGTAAATAAATAATAAAAATGTGGTCTTAACAAACTTCAAGATATCTGAATCAACAGAACATGACTATCTGTAGTACCTAATATGATGTCTAACGTATTTAGTAAAGCAAAAATGGCATCAAGTGACACTCCAGTTCCCGTATTCCTTGCTGATAGACAAATAAAGTTGTATTTTAAAAACAAATAAATAAATGTTTATGAACATTGAAGGAATTCTTCATTCTGGATTTGTAGATAAGCACTGACTCCAGTTGTAGTGCCAGTGCTTCTGATACCTAGTTTTAATTGGTACAGAACAAAGTTTTTATTAGAAGTAAGCCTCAAGTATACTGTTGATATACAGATAAACAAAATATTGGGGAAGATTTTCTGGTGGCGGAATAGTCATTATTCCAGTGTGGGTGGGAGTTGTGCATGAGGACCCTGCGGAATCTCCATTGTAGCAAGCTCCAAAGGAATAGCCAGAAAGTTGAATGTTGCTCTGGGCAATTCCTCTGCACCTGGAACCCTCCAAAGATCTCCATAAAAATTGAAGACTTTGAATGGTTATAATGACATTAAGTAAAATACATAATCTGTCTCCTGAATATTCAGCTGACCCCATAATTAACTCACACACCTCTTACTACAGCAACCCCAGACCACTTACACCTCTGGACCCTAAATATCTCACCTTGGAGCCCATGAGCCAAAACCAACCCAGGGACCCAACATTCCTGCTCCTGCACTGGGAATTGACATCCACCAGGGAGCTGACAGTTCCCTGCCCCAACACTCCAACAACCCCACACTCCCACCCTGCGACCCAACACCTTCTGCCCAGGACTCAATGCTCCCCCAGAGATCTGACATCCCTAAACCAAGAACTGACTTCGTCTGCCTCAGGACACGACACACTCCTCTGGAAAACCACACCCCCGACTCCCACTGGACCCGAACCCCCCCAACACCACCATCAGTAAGTACATGGGTGAAGTGGCTGGAAGGTGCTGTATTAGTTGGGTTTACATGTATATCTGGTAAATCACATGGTCGATGAGATATTGTCAGTAATTAATCGGGATGTTTGGAGGTTGTTGAAGGGCCATGGGTGTAATTAGGGCATCAGAGGGGTAGTTGGGTGGTTACTGTGTGTGATTGGGGTGTCAGCTCTGGAAGTAGCCAGGATTTTTTTTTTGCTGTCCAACATTGCCTGGGTAACCTTTCAGGTAAATTGGAATTGTCTGCATTCAGGTAAATTGCAATTGTTTCAAATCTCCAACTCTACTCATGATATACAATGCCTCTTGTGTAGTATCTTGGGGGGCAGGCAAATTGCCCATCAAAAGTTGAAACTTGCCAAGCCGTTCCTACAGAGTTCAGTATGTGGAGATATCAACATGCTCCTTATGGTCTCTGACAGTCTGGAGAATGAGAGATTTGGGGCAAAACTTTTTGTTGTGCACTTACCTGTAGTTGTACATTAGTGGCAAAGATAAGAGTTATAGAGAAACTGTCTTTCATAACATTACATGTAAAGTAATTGTTTAATTTTCTGGCAGGTATTAACCATGGCCCTGTTATTGCTGGAGTGATTGGAGCTCAGAAACCACAGTATGATATCTGGGGTAATAGTGTTAATGTGGCAAGCAGAATGGATAGCACAGGAGTCCTTGGCAAAATACAGGTATTCTCATTTGAACCTCTTCTGCAAAGTTCCTCAAACAGTAGTGCCTAATGGATGCACTTTGTGTGACACAGATAGCTGCAGTTACTTGTAGCAGTCGATCTTTCCTGAACAATTAACATAATATATATTTCCAGTCTCAGGCTACGACAGAATCTAGTTATTTTTTAGTGTTCTAAATTGAAAAAAAAAACATTTAAACATGTTGATATAGGGGAAGAGACGTTCTAACAAAGCTTACTAAGAGCTCATCACTGAAAGTGTTGATTTTCAAAGGAGTTATGTATAATTAGTTTTCAAAAGACAGATTTACTGATCTAATACTCTTAGCAGAAAGCTGTACCCAAAGGGCAAGCATCAAAAAATCAACGCCAAAAGAATCAATCTAGCAGTGTCTTCCTTTAAGCTTTTTACTGTTCAATGTTCTTTTAACTAATTTCATTTAGTACACATGTATTTACCAGGAATTGTCGTCAGGAGAATGCAGCTTGCATTGCATCAAGCAAAAGGAAGAGGCATCTGATGATAACTGAGAATACTTAGCAATTGATATACAATTGGAAAATTCACTCACATTAGCTCTGAAGTTTCAGTGATTCCTCAACTTTATGACCCACTTCTGCCGTCTGCGTGATAGTAACACCCAAATATTTTGGTTTAAAGTGTGAATTTAATCTTGACAGTTTACATAAAGTCCAATACAGCGTACAGAAGTTAACATCACTAAAAAGTTAATCTAGATGGTCATGTGAGGGGCTCTGACAAGAAGACATCTAATTTTTTGATCAAGCTGGTCATTCAATGATAGTGTTGTCTTATGGTTCCCAAAAGTAAGAAATAATTAAACTTATACACACAAATACAGAATACATGTCTTGTAGCTCTCCATGGGGTAGGTGGACTGATTCATTGTTGCTTTGACACACTGCCTAGCAGGGCTCAAAATATGTTTCGTTTTTATTTTCAAGGGCCCCTCTCAAGATTTACTTTTTGATTTTCAGGGGCTACTTTTTTGATTTTTAGGAACTTCTTTCCTAGTCACAATAACTCCTTCATTAGATGATGCAATCTGAGTAAAAATGACTCCTCTGTGTTTGTGTTGAAGCAGAAGCAGAATAAAGAGAATTTATAAATTTTGCCATTATTACTGTTCTACTAAAATTAAAGTCACAAACACAAGGAAAGCCATAATTTCTTAGACACCAAAACAGGCATAAATTAGTAATATTTTTGAAGACATTGCTAAAGCTTCTATATACAAGGCATCATCACCCTAACCGTGTTTTCCATAGATTCCATAGATTAGTGAGATCACAGCTAAACTCTTGCATGTTTGTTTCTAACACAATTGCTGCAGCTCAAGTAATTAACAGTGTAAGATGTTATTAAACATAAATGCAAATATTGATGAAGTAAAACTATTCACTATTAAATTATGCAATTGACACAGTGTTAATTACAATCATATCTTTTTTTGTCATGACTCGCCGGGGGAAGTGTGTTAGAAATCAAGCCATGCTATTCTTTGAGTTATCACAAATATGGAAAAAAATAAGTCAAACTATCAAAAGTCCTCAATTTATTTGACTTACAGACTATGGGTTAAAACACTTGCCAAGTCTCTGTACATAACAAGAAAATAACTGATTAGTATAAACAAATTGTCTTTAACAAATGGCAATTAGGATGTATGAATTGTTGAATTATAACTTTACAACTCTATCCCTTTGTAAATTCTCCCCTTCATAAGCAGACAGACACAAATGGCAGATAGAACATGATATTAAGGGTGGAAAAAATAAAAAGATCAGAGAAACAGTATGATCACACCTGTGTGAACCACAGTTGCTTTCTTTCTTTTCCTTTCAATTCCTTTTTAGATCTTTGCTATGATATAAGTTTGTTCGCATACTGATGCTCTATTTCATTCACTGGTTGAAAATTCATCCATTCACTATCTTTAAAGGCATTTTATTTCTCCTTCAATTGGGAATTTTCAGAGAAAGGTGATTAGAAGTCAGCTGGCTTTTACTCACTCAGGAGAAATACAGGAGACAGCTTCTTTGGTGCTTTCTCTTTCCAGCCTAACTGGTTTCTTCTGCACTGGCCTACTGATAAACCATGGTCATTTGGTCAGGAGCCAGTCAGAACATTGTGGTCATACAGTTTTCCTTTAGTTCAGATTCTATCAGCTGCTTGTCCCTATTCCAAGAAAAATGCAATTTTGTATAAACTCACGGTGTGCTCCAGTAAATATGATTTTTAAAACAGCAGCTGCAGTTCCCTTGGTTTAGGCCAGTAACATTTCTTTTCTTTTAGTCCACAGTCCAAACATAAATCAAATAAAATGATTTGGTCTTTATACAGATCCTCACTCCACTTTCTCCCCTTTCAGAACTTTCCCACAATCTGCAGTCCCTCTCTTCCACTTTGCAGCTCCATGTCACCCCAACTACAGTTCCTCTCCACCACCACCACCTCTCCTCTTTCCCCTGTGCCACCTCTGCCCTGTTGCTCCTTTCCTTTATCCCATCCCCATGCCCTTACTGTCACACTCATACACACACGCACGCAACCACACACGCATGCACACACACATTCTCTCCTCTCTGTTTCTCTCTCCCTTTCTTTCTCACACACGTGCATGTGTGCATACACACAAATAAATCTATGGAGTGAATTTGCATTTGTAGATTTGTAATTGCAGATACGTTCTATTTTGTTCAAAAAGCATACAATTTGTAGACAGTTAATGTGGCATTTTATAAATTCCTACTTTGGAAATAAAACCAGTCTGACTCTTAGTTTATACACAGCCATATTCTAAACAAGGCCTCACAGCTAAAATGAATTGTCTGGCCTGAGATGTCACCTCTGGTATACCGAGGGAACTGATGAAACCTTTAGTTACTTTGGGGCAATGACTTGAAAGAAATTTGGGAATTTGCACATTAATCCTTTCTAGTTGATTAAAGATTTAACAGCTATCTCAGGTTTGTTCAACACCGCATAAAAACTGAAGGAACTGCGAATGCTGTACATCAGGAACAAAAACAAAGTTGCTGGAAAAGCTCAGCAGGTCTGGCAGCATCTGTGAAGGAAAAAACAGAGTTAAC